TTAGGTTTTTTTTTTTTGTCAAAATTGAAGTTAACTTGGGGTTCCAATTAGGAAATGGTTTTAAAAATGTTGGGGATAATTTTGTCATATACATTAAGTTTGCCTTTATTTTATAAGACGTATTAAAGACATGGGCTTATTGGCAAAAGAAATATAGCACCTAAACTATTTAATTAAATTATTTTGTAGTGAATAAAGATGCAGTTTTGTAACTACATATTTCGGTTAATTAAATTATTTTGTAGTGAATAAAGATGCGGTTTTGTAACTACATATTTCGGAACTGCTGGGTCCATCTCAGGGCTGGCCCGACGGGCTCCATTTTAAATATATGGAGACATGACAATAGAAAGATTTGAACCCTAGTTGATTTCAAGTTAGAAACCCCTCTAATCGTTGTGGCAAGAGTACATTTGTGTAAATAGACTTCGAATAAATTTATAAAAACTAAATAGACAAGGTAAAATGATTAAATAGTTATATAAATAATGTCAAATAAATTATATAAATAAATAATATAATATGATATCGAAAACTATATGTATTTTATGTTTAAAAACACAAAATTTACAATAAAATTCTATTCTAAATAAAATCTACCATTAATTCTCCCTTATTAATAAATGTATATATAGTAAAATTTTAAAATATATAAGCAATTGACTTAATTAAATATTAATAAAAAATGCATAAGTTACTACTAATTAATATATATATATATATATATATATATATATATATATATATATATATATATATATATATATATATATATATATATATATATATATATATATATATATATATATATATATATATATATATATCGATTTAATAACATATACAGTACATTAAAATCAAGAGAAAAAGATGGTTTTTAAATTGGCAACGATTATATTTTGTTACCAAATCTCTTGGAGCATTTACAACAAAAGATTTTGTCGTCTTTCGTCACTTATTGGTGACAAAATATATTTGTTGCCGTTGTAAATGTATTTACTACATTTTATATCGTAGCGAAAAAAATACTCTTTTGCAACAAACAAAGTTGTTGTCTTTCATAAAATTCGTTGCGAAATATATATGATACTATTCCCAACAATATTTTTCGTTGCCTATGAGATTCAAAGGCAACAAAAATATATTGTTACAAAAATGTTAATCATTAGCCACAAATACTATATTTTGTAGCTAAAATATAACTATTGGCAACGAAATTAATTTCGCCGATAAAGAAATTGTTGCATATTTTGCATTTAATTTTCTAGTATATATATACTACATTATTCATATATATAATATGTTATCAAACAAACTTAATAGTTTAGCATTCAACAGTCTTAATCATTCAGTCATGTAGGTGATCGGTTTTATCGGCCAACCGATTCACTTTAGATCCGCTTCTTTTAGCCAATAATTTTTTTGGCCGATAGTTTTGTTGTCGGGCTGGAAATTTTAACAGACCGATATATAAATGGGTCGGTCAGTGATTTTCAATTTACTCAAAAGTCGGTTGGCCGGATAATATCGGCCAACCGATCTTTTTAATATTTCTTTTATTATAAATATTTAATTGTAATTCTTATTTTTTAATGTTAATTAATATATAAAAGATGCAAAACCACAAAAACCCAAAATATAAAATTATAAACATCTCCATACTATTTCTATTTTTTAATTTTTATTTTATATTCTTCATTATATATTTACTTCTTGTAGAAGTTTAATAAAAAAAAGAGTAAACTGCAAAAACTACCCCTGTGTAATCTTGAAATAGCAAAAACCCCCCTGTGATAAATAAATTAGCAAAAACCCCCCTGTGAAATTATTTAAATAGCAAAAACCCCCCTATGGAACTATTTGAGGGTTGACTTGATATAAAAAGACACAAATACCCCTGGAGTCTTGCAATTAATAAATTCTTATATTTTATAAATATTTTAATTATTTTATTTAAAAAATAATCAATTTAGTTGTTTACTATTTTTTTTAATTTCTAAACAAATAAATTAAAAATATTAAATATACATATAATATGTATATATATAAATACATTTTGAGGGACAATTTTGTCATTTCAAGTCTAAAAAATCAGCTAGGGGGGATTCTGCCTTTGACTAAATTTCACAGGGGGGTTTTTGCTAGTTTATTTATCACATGGGGGTTTTTGCTATTTCGAGATAACACAGGGGTAGTATTTGCAATTTACTCTAAAAAAAATCTTAATTTTAAAGTTAAATTTTTTACCAACATAAATTTTCCAAAATTATTGAATATCTTTTGAAAAGCTTTTAAAAATATCTTATTATTTAAAAGAAAAATAGTTGGCCAATAATACCAACCAACCACCAATTGTTTACCCGCCACAGTCGGTTGTCAACCATTACCCAACCCATAATGGTTGGGCCTATAATGATTTCCAATTTTCAGCAAAATCGGGTGGTCAGATTGGGTAGGTAATTGGCGGATAATTACCTGACCCGACCCGTGTCGACTCTACAATTATGTATTTAACATTTAGTGATCAATGATTAATAATTCAATCGAACATGGCCTTAGTCAACCTTTAATCGGAGGCTATGTTTTTTAATTATAAATACTGGGAATTTTAGTAATTAAACCTTGTTTTAGTAAAGTTTTGGTAATTTAACCAAAGCAAAAGTAAAGACTAAAGAGGCGTAGATATATAACACTATCCCACCCCACTCAAGCTACTACAGTTCCAGCTTCTAAGAAATGAAAAGTAGAACAGAGAAACTCTCATTTCACACAAAAAGGCCCCTCCGACGCCGGATTTTAAACCGTGTATTCACTCTAATATACTCCGTCGCCATATTAGCCCTACTCTACCACCATGCTACAACTCTCCTCCACCCCACCACCACCACATATCTTTCTTTCTTCACAACACTGTCCATGCTCATATCTGATATTATCCTCGCCTTTATGTGGCTAAACTCACAGGCCTTCCGCTTCAATCCTGTTGTGGTAGAACCTTTCCCCGACACTCTCCAACAACTTCTCAAAGCGCCGGAAAATTATCCGGCGCTGGATGTTTTCATATGCACGGCTGATCCGTCCAAGGAACCACCGATGATGGTGGCTGCCACAGTCCTTTCTGCTATGGCGTATGATTATCCAACTCAGAATCTGTCTGTCTACGTGTCAGATGATGGGGGTTCTGAGTTGACTCTATTTGCTTTGACTGAAGCTGCTGAGTTTGGAAAGGTATGGCTGCCTTTTTGCAAAGATAATCGGATCTTGGAGCGCTGCCCCGAATCCTTTTTTCGGTCCACTTTACCCACCACCACCAATAATACCCACACACACAAAATTAAGGTGACTCTTTTAAATTTATTTACTTCTTTAACTGTATCAATCATTTTATGAAAAAAAAAATACAGGATATTAATTTTGTAATAAGATTTTTAATTTTGATTATTTTATTAGAGAAATATGTAGCTAGTTAAAACAAAACGAAAAATATCATTTTCGGTCACCATCAGGTAATATATATGGTCCGCTTACGGCATCCAATAGAGTCAAGATAATTGTTATAAACTATTATATATCCATGGATGGATTAGGCGAACATTTTGACTTTTATAATTCACATTTTGACTTTAATGATGCAGCAAGATTGAATCGATGTGTTGTAAGTATTTAATACGACAACATATTAAATTAAATTAAATAGATGAGTGTTATTTGACCAAATAGAACAGAACTCTATGTTGAATCAGTTCCTGTGTGAATTATTTATAATATAAATGTTTATTAGAAGTTTGACACATAATTTCATCTTTGACCCCTATCTTAGTTGAATGGTTAATCTAGTACGTAATAATAAACTTAGTTGAGAACTTGTGGACTGATTTTTTGTTTTTTTAATTAATAATCAAGAAAACTGAATCATGTAGTGTTTTCGGATAAGGATTACGGGTTTCTAACTTCATTCGATATATAAATAGACGGGTCAGAAACGCCTGGTCCGGGTCGAGTATATTTTGAACCTTAATCGGCCCTAATGTATGGCTGGTTATGGCCTGGGTCCCACCCTTCGGGTCGGAAAACCGTTAGCCCGGGTCTAAACCGGATTTTTGGAATTCGTTCTTTATTGTTTAGAGAGAGATGATTTTAAAAACTCTAATTAAATATTTATACTTGTAAAATCTTTAAAACAATTATTATACATCTAAAAGTTTTTCTTTTCTTTTTTTTTATAAGAAAAGAGGACTATTTAAAGGGGGTTGCATTTAATTTTTAAATTTTTAAATTTAAATTAAAACTTAAAAACTTACAAATAAGGGTATACGTATCCTTCCTTAATATGAGTCAAATCCACACAGTTCTTATAAACTCAACTAGCTTACCTTATTCTTTGGCGTGAGTATGTTCAAATTCAGATTTGTAGTCCAATTTCTTTTCTCCTTGTACCTGGTACTCAACTCTCGTCAAATCTTCCAAACATTCTTGAGCTTCCAACTTATTGGGATGTAGTAATGATCTTTTTTGATCGAAAATATTGGTACTTGCACTAAATCCTTGTTTGATGGCAACAATACTTGCGGGATAAGATAGAATTGGCCTTGACGATTATTGACAATATTGAAAATTTGGTAGTCTTTTGTGACCACCATGCCGATGTAATAAAATCAGAGTTATCTCTATCATCAAACTCAAAAGAAGATGTTAAATACATTTCAAGTTCCATATTAGAACTTGAGTCCTTAACCCTCGCCCACTCCGTGCATTCTATAAGTAAACGTTGTAGCCAAAGATTTCTTCAAGTAAAGTGATTCCAGTCTTTCCCAAATTTCTAACTTCCAACGGCAATGGTCTTCTCCAAAACCTCTCTTAGCGCCTCGTCACCAATACTCAATCTCAGTGCAATGTAGGCTTTATATTGAATTTAAAAATATTTACCTAGTCACTCTCAAAGCATCAAGTTCTTCTTTATTGATGGCAGCTGAGATTCCTTGATCCACGAGTCATGCCGATAGTTACTGGTTTCCCAATTCCCCTCCTGGTGTCTCGAACCCATGATCAAATGGTTTTAGGTGAAAGTGCTTACCAACTGGCTACCTTGTCTTGACTCCATCAACTATTAATTTGTCCATGCTTACCTTGTTTTGTTTTAATGTGAAAAATATAATTCAATCCTGTAAATACAAGAACAAGAGATAATGGACAAAAGAAATTTATGGTCTTCCGATCACAATGTTCTTCATCAACTTTGAGCAGTCACCAACACTTCATTTAGAACACTCGTAAGATTTTACATAGTAAAATTCACTTTCACATATCACAAAGACCGACCATAGAGCCTTACTCATTCCACTAGAGTATCTTCCTGATGCGTATCTAACTAATTTCACAGATCTAATTTTATCCCGATGTTGAGATGCGTACTTCTCTCCATGTTTATTGTATCTAGATTGTGCTTAGATAACCATTTGATCCCCATGGAAGAATAAATGGTTACAAGAGTACGCTCCAAGCATGTCCGATCCAAAAGTCGATTATGAGTGAGTGACTACCTTCTTATAACTTCCTTTCGCTTTCATGCATGTAGCTTTATTTCGTTGAACTTTGATCGTTCAATCTGAATTATATCCATTTGCATATACATATTGACAGTTGTTTATATATCATGAATATTATAATGTAGGGAATGTATGAGAATTTGAAAACAAGAATAGAGGATCGGTGCATAATGAGTTCGCAAGCGGCTAAAGATTTTGGTGAAGGGGCAACAAACGATTTTACCATCCAAGAAGATCATCCTGCTGTAATTCAGGTTAATAATCAAGTTTTATTCATTTAATATAAAGCTAAAATTAGGAAGAACCCCGTGAGCCAAGACTAAATATTAAAACATCATTCTAGTTTGTGCAATTATTATTTGATTTATCTATTTCTGCTTTTTACAATAATGCAGTTGTTCTAACCAGAACAATGGGGTAATAACACACGAAGATACCTTGATTACATTATCTTTGAACTTGATGAAAACACTTTTAGACTTCCTCCAATATTGAACTCCGTTCATACGACATTTCAATCTTTCCCGAGATTTTCCTAAACTCTTATCTCGAAAATCCGATCTTGTTTACTGTTGGGGCTAAATACCTAACACGCAAGTGCACGTATCGCAAACAAGTAGTAAAAGTGGACTCGTGAGAGTCGGATGTCGATCCCACAGAGAATACTCAAATTATCTAATCCTAAGTACCAAATTCTAACAACTATGATTTTTATCCAGCCTACGCAAGTTTGTTAAATTAAATAACCTAAATAGTTAAACTAATTATGAAAGAAATTAAACACGATAAAAACGGACCTAGGATTTTATCTTCCCCTATGCAAGAATTGCTCACCCAAAACCCCTCAATTATGAAATATATAATTCATGATTATTAACCCGAGACACTAATTTACTCATAACCCGCTGTCGCGTGTATTATGAGTCTATTATTCATAAACGGTTCACTATATGTCTATGCAAACAAATTATGAATAAAGCATTAACTAACAAGTCTCGTAAATGGCTACCTAAGGTGATATCTGTATGTCTACGACACCACATGCAATTGACACACTCATCCGGTGAAAACTACTCGAAGGCTCTTATACTTACCGTCTAATTATCAAAATAGCTCTGTCGAGTCAATCCCAATAATCACAGATAAAGCACATAAATTGATCAAGTTCATGCACTAACAATCATAACAAGTATAAGAAATAATCATAAAATCATAATTGCATAATCTCAAGAAAACGGGTTCACCATCCCCACATAGGGTTCCAACAAAATCCTAGATTAAAAACTTAGCTACTCATAACGAGAAACATAATAAAAGTAATAAAAGTCATAGATTAAGAAAAGATAGGTTAAAGAAGAATTGCGATGAAGAGTTGTCAATTCTCCGTCTTCGATTCTTCGTTCTCTCGCTCCTCTCGCTCCAAGGTTGTGTCAAAAGTCCTTTGATTCGTGCTTGGTTTGGGCTTAAATAGATGTCCCAACTTGGTAGATGATTCTAGGTTTCCTTGTGTGTTTAAAAGTCCAAAATTGTCTCCAGCGTGATTTGGCACGGCCGCGCGAAAATCAGTGCAATTCTCGCACGGCCGAGAATCGCCGAAACCTTCTGCCCAATTTCTGCATTTGGCACGGCCGTCCAATTTTTAGGTGTAAATCTGGGACGGCCGTCCCGTGCCAATTTCTTCATATTTTTGATTATTTCACTTTTGGCCCATATTTTCTCCAAAATTGCAGTTTTGACCCCAAACTTTTCCAATTCTTCAATTTATACCTAAAATACAATAAATCAACTTTTTAAGCACCAATTATCGTTAAATCACACCAAAAGCTCAAATAAAAAGGTACGATAAAGTGTAAAAATATACACTTAACAAAGTGTAAAAATATACACTTAACATTTACCACTAAGGTGGTGTTTGCAAATGCTTTTTTAAAGTGATTATGAGCTTTTTTTTGCTCATAATCTGTTTTCAAGTGTTTGTAAAATCAACTTTTGCTTTTGCTTCTCTTAAAATAATCTGCTTTAAGCTATTTTTTAAAAGCATCCATAACCATGCTTTTTCAATTTTAGTTTATTTTTCAAAATATTTGCAAACACCCCTGACTTTTAGAAATAAGCACTTAAAACTAACTTAAATCACAATCACTAACTTCTGCTTTTAAATAATCATTTGCAAACACCACCTAAGTAGAAAGTACCCCGTAAACGTGTTACAACAAATGCATGTACATAACAATAAAGCTTGCCCATTGACCAAAACTTTCTTGCTGATGATATGAAATTCTTCTACAAGTGTATCATTTTTAGTAGATTCTTGGACTATATACAACATATACTGTCCTAACTTACATTAACTATGAATCATGGAGAATAAATAGTTTTTCACAATATATACATCTACTTAATAGAAATATAAGAATCCTAACAAATTTGAATATATCAAAGATAAGGATCGCCTATTACAAAGACTTCTATTTTATAACAAAAATTGTAATAGAAGATAATGAAAATTGTAAAACACCAATTCAGTTTCGTTCCTCTAAAAATTATCTTTGTTAAAATATTGGATGAATTTGAGGTAGGCCAATAAAATGAGGTTTTACAACAAATCAATTTACCCTTTAATTTTCATTTCCAATAAATTCACAAAAACATGAATTCTTAAAATAGCCATACATATTTCTATTCGAGATAAGCTTAACTCACCCCGCTCATCAGGTTTGGTCCGACCCTACCCGATCCGACCCTATTTGTTTTTCTTTTAGTTATTTATTTATTTTTTATTTATTTTTTATTTTTATTTTTTTATTTTTTATTGTTTTTCAATTTTTTAATTTATTTTTTTGCGGTGGTGGCCTGGGTCGTCGTAGCTTCGGTTAGCTGACTCAGTATTAGTTAACTTCAACAACAGTTGACATTACCTTTTTTTTCTTCTTTCAATCGTTTTCCTGGTGGTGGGTCGCCGGAGCTCTAGTTAGCTGACTCAAGATTAGTTAAGTTCAACATTAATTACTTAAACATTAGTTGACATTTTTTTTATTCTTTTGTTTTTCTCCGGTTGCGGGTTGTCGGATTTCCGATTAATTAGCTAACTCAACATTAGTTAACTTCAACATAAACTGACATCGATCTTTTTTTTCCCTCGATGGTGGATAATCAGAGCTACGATTAGTTGACTTTAACACTAAAACAATCGGGTGTCAGATAATCCTTAGTCAGTTAATCAGAGCTCTAAATACCCGTCGCCGAAAAAGAGAGTTAAAAGAACAAATAAATAAAAATGGTTGGATGTAAACTAATGCAAATTTAGCTAATGCGAACTCAACTAAGCGTAATCAACTAATTAGAGTTCCGACGTCTCGTTCCCAGAAAAAAAAAATTAAAAGAAAAAAAGTTGGACGTCAGCTAATGTTGAAGTCAGTTAATACGCGGTCAGCTAATGCAAGTCAACTAATTAGAGCTGCGACAACCCGCTGTCGGAAAAAAATATAAAAATAAAAGTAAAAGATAAAAGAAAAAAAAATGCTAAATCAGTTAACTAGAGCTCCGACGACCCACCGTCGGGAAAAAAATGGTAAAACTGGTATAAACTAATGTGGTCTTAAGATATAAGTCCCTGGTGACAAACCTTATTAGAACTAAATGACAAGTCTAACTAAAATTTGCTTCACATCATTTATTAAATTCATTCCAAAAATGCCCATCCACTCGCAAATTCGAAATTACACAAAATTGTAAATATACTATGATGAACTATGGTATTATTTAACATTTTTAAGTTTGCATCTAGCATTTTTTTTTAATTATTACGTGGAACACGTTTTTTTTTATGTATTTTTTCATTATATAAATATCTATTTTTTCCCCCTTCTTTTCTACATAAATTGAAAATTATGATTTTTTTTTTCTATCGTAAACATAACCCATAGGAAACTGTAGTAATTCGTAGTCACCCACAGATATCTTAAAACCCTAACTCCTCCTACAAACCTTAGCCGCCAGCCAAACACCCATAGACACTCACAGACATCTGTAGACAACCAAATCGATGTTTTTTAAATTTTCCCCACCAAACTCTAGATCCGCTCCTCCACCACCACCATCCACCACCACCATCATAACCGAGCGCCGCCGTCACGCCATCATCCATGCCCAACACCGTCGCCGCGCCTTCCACCATAGATCTGACCTTGCACCACCATTGCCACCACCTCTTTGCCTCTACAGTCATCCTCTTATTGCCGCCGTCTCCACCGCCATAACCACCGCCCCTCTCAATAGTGAATTGGAGTGGTGGAGAACGAAATAGATAGAGAGAGATAGATAGAGATGGCGAGGGATAGAGATATCGAAAAATAGAGAAAGAAAGATTGAGAGAGAGAGAGAGAGAGAGAGAGAGAGAGAGAGGAAAAAAGAAAAATAAATCTGAGAGAAATGTGACATTATAATTTATGAATTTAGTTTAAGGGAAAATTAGGGATATAAGAAAAATTGAGGATGTGACTCATATTTATTTTTCTAAAAAGGATTTAGCTCATAAAAAAATATTAAGGTTGTATTCTACATCTAATTATGTTTGCAACTAGGGACCTCTAGCATATTACCCCTAAGCTAATTATTCGCACCTCCGAAAAAATGCTAGTAATAATAATCAAAATAAATATGATAAAACAAACCCTAATTATTGTGGAAAATGGTAAAAATGGTATAAACTAATTATTTGGGTTTATATCAAATTAAACTTACAACAAATGAGTTTTACTCAAAAACATAAAAAAAAAGAAAAAAAAAAACTTGGGTTTATCCCACATTATGTAAGTTAGTGAAGGGGCTATCTAAAATAATTTATTTCGTATCTATTTTTGTGTTCAAAACACAATGCAATGTTTATTGTGTTATAGATTTCCAAAGATATTATCTCGTAATAAGGTTTTCGTATATTAGCTTCAAAAGTGGAATAATTTCGTCGGAAAGACAAAAACTCCAATTCTTGCCTCGTCCGTTTCGCTAAAATTACTAACCAATTATAATGCACCAAGATCCACGTGACACAACGATGTTCTTGTGCCACAATCCCAATACTTAATATCAGAACATAATCTTGAACAAAATAATTTAAAAACATCTTATGTATGATTTTGCTTCAACTTGGTCCATAATAGTAAACCATGTATGTTTAATTACTTATTAATTTATCCTTCGACATCGAAATATGTGCAGGTTATCTCGGAAACTAAAGATGTGCGAGGTTGTGCAATGCCGAATCTCATTTATGTATCAAGACAGAAGAGCCTTACATCCCCCCACCATTTCAAGGCTGGAGCCCTTAATGTTCTCGTAAGAAATTCAGAACTCTACACATTAAACAAAACAATTAGTTATTTTTTTTACATTCTCGTATCCTCAATATTTGTTATTTTTATATATTTATATATATGTGTGTGCGCGCGCGCGTATGCATGTTTTTACGTGAAACAGCTTCGAGTATCATCAATAATGACCAATGCTCCAATAGTTCTGACATTGGATTGTGACATGATATCCAATGATCCATCAACACCTCAACAAATGCTATGTTTTTTTATGGATAGTTCAGTGAAGTCGAATCTAGGATATGTTCAGTTCCCTGTTCGTTTCAATGGTGTTAACAAGGCTGATATTTATGGATCCGAGTTTAAGAGAATGTATCATATAAATCCAATGGGCTTAAATGGTCTTTCGGGCCCCGATTACTTTGGGACTGGTACATTTTTCAATCGACAAGTCTTTTTTGGTGGACCATCATCCTCAAAGAATACCGAGCTCGAATATGTTGTCAAGAAGCCTATCAATAATCATGCTATTTTAGAGTCAGCACATAATATGGCAAGCTGCGATTATGAGAACCAAAGCGATTGGGGATTAAAGGTAAATTAGCTTTCTTGATAAGTAAATAGTATGTGATGACAAAGTAAGTAATCTAAATACGATTTTTTTTTTCTTTTTTTTTTTTTTTTTTTTGCAGAAAGGATTCAGATATGGTTCCTTGGTGGAGGACTACTTCACCGGTTATCAGCTACACTGCCAAGGTTGGAAATCAATATTTTGCAATCCTAAAAGGGCATCATTTTTATCTGAGATGCCAATTTCCCTTCACGAAATGATAACGCAAACCAAGAGATGGTCCGTCGGACTTCTTGAAGTGTCTTTCTCAAAGTATAGTCCATTAACGTTCGGTACAAAATCTCTCGGACCACTCATGGCTCATTGTTACTCTTACTATGCTTTCGGTCCTAGTTGGTCAATCCCTATCTTGTTCTACGCTTTCCTTCCTCAAATTTATATGCTCCACAATATCTCCATTTTTCCAAAGGTATGCAATATTTAAATTGTCTCTAATTAATTTGTTGAAATAAAGATTATAAATATCATTATATAATTTTGTTGTAACTGGGTGTCTATGTATTTTGCTTTGATTAGGTGTCAGATCCATGGTTTTTGTTGTACATGTTCCTATTTGTTGGTGCTTATGGACAAGACTTGTTGGAGTTCATCTTAGAACAAGGGACAACTCTAAGATGGTGGAGTGATCAAAGAATGTGGCTTGTTCGAGGACTTTCTTCTGATTTTTTCGGAACATTGGAATACGTAAGCAATCGCTTGGGCATTGCCTCAAGAGGATTTAATGTGACTACAAAAGTAAACGATAATGAACAGAGGACGCAATATGATAACGGAAAATTCCAATTTGGGGTTGTCTCTCCCGTGTTTATGCCGTTTTCAACGGCTGCAATCGTAAATTTAATTGCAGTTTTTGGAGGGTTCTTGCAACTGTTGAGGGGCACAATTTTACTTGATGAGTTTTTGGGCCAAATTATTATTTCCAGTTTCGGGATGGTGAATAGCTGGCCTGTTTACGAAGCAATGTTCTTCAGAACTGATAAAGGAAGAATGCCCACAAAGATAACCATCTTTTCAGTTATTCTTGCATGGCTTCTCATCTCTTTGATGACAAAGATGTAAGATTTAATACACTTTTATTTCAATGGTTAAGCGAAAAAAATGGCCAATACTCCTTGGGTATGTATTATAATAATAAAAACAAGGAAAATTATGGTTATTTTTATTTATAATTTCAATAAAAGTATATTACTTCAATATTGTCATTTGCTATAACAAGTTTTCATTGATATTTTCTTTTCTTTTTTTACTCATAGTCGTTTTGAATTATATTGTGAATATTTTAATTTTGATTTTATTCTTATATATAACATTTACGACTTACGAGTAACACACATTGATGGGAACCTAATCTGAGAATCGAAAGATAAATTCGTAGAGATTTACTGATGATAATTATCTATTCTATGATTCCTAAACTTGAATGTTTAGTTAAACAAGATTATCTGAGGTTCCTTGATTTGGAAATGAGGAACGAAGACGAACTCAATTGATGAAATGAACACACATACTTTTCTTCAACTTCTTAGTCTTCCAGATTTCGATGCTCCGACGATTTTTAGATCCAACTGCGTATAGTTTTATTGTAGTGTGAGCTATATAATTTAGACGATTTTAATAACTATCAATATTGAAAAAGTATAGGGGAGCTCCTAATTTAGTCTAATATTTGAGCACATTCGTCCGCGGTTGATGTCTTTTCTGTCTTCATCGCCGCATGGGTGATGGTCGTCATTGGTTGTGAGATTGAAGAATGATGGAATGGAGAGAGTAGCGAGGAGAAAAATAGCGAGAGAGAGGAACATTGACATGGGCCTTCGACCTTCACAGCGGTGCTGGGAAGAGCAATAATCTTCGAGTGAGAACACGCTCAACGACCATAATATTAGAGAAGAGAGAATGAAGAGAGCGGATGGGAAAAGAACGATGTTTTCTGAAGAAATAGGGTTTCGATGGAGCAAAAAGGGTAGAGATCCTCATAAAAAGATTTATAATTACCTAAAATAGGAAATGAGGGAGGAACCTCTATTGGGTAAATAAAGATTGGATCTCCATAGGTGTAATTGTGTTACACAGTAATATTTTTTTTAATATTACTGTGAGTAATAATATTATTGTCAAACACGTAATATTATTGTTTATATTGGGAAAAAAATGTTCAAGATGTTTAAAAGCTTGGAAGCTAGGGGTGTGGACGGCCCGGTTCGGTTTTTGGCTAAAACCGAACATGTACCGAATATATTGGTTTTTATAAAATTAAAAAGTCGGTTTTTCATTGGTTCGGTTTCTTTTGGCTTCGGTTCGATTTTTGTTTTTTCAGGTTGAGTTTTGGTTATTTTCGAGTTCAAGAGTAACTATATATTCAAGTTATACAAACAAAAGAATCCAATTACAAATACTTTCACAACTAACTAATGCAATGAAAATATAAAATATTTAATCCCATAACTTAACGTAAGTAGATGATGTATTATGCTTCATTTTTTTCCTACTTTCATCAACCAAATAATTAAAACCATGAACTCAAGTAAAATATTAGTTACTAAATAAAAAAAATACAATGTCTCAATTTATGAACAAATACTTAGAATGAGACAAGTAATTGAAAGATATAAAGTAAAAATTAGGGTAAAATAATATATATATATATATATATATATATATATATATATATATATATTACATAAAATAAAGTCATTTTATAGTTTCGGTTCAGTTCGATTATTTACCCTTCCACCATACCGAACCGAAAAATACGGTATTTCAAAAATAAAAAACCGTACATACGGTTTGCTATTCCGTACGGTTTCAAACGGCTCGATTTTTGGGTTTTTCGGTTTTTTTTTTCTCACCCAATGGAAGCTATTAAAAGGTGTTTGGTCAAAATTTTAGGAAAGATCTTACTTTTTTTTAATAAGTTGTTTTCAAAAAGGGCGAATTTGTTATAATCCACTCGGTGGCAAATAAAATAGGGATAAACCTAAGATGGGAAAATCCGTTGACCCTGGAGATGGTAAAAGTACCATTGTGCCCTTATATACAATTTTTGTCCACTGCATTTTGCATTTTCGGACCTGCATATATCAATTTCGATGCATTTTTATTTTATTTTTCTTATAAGAACGTGTTTGTATATTTTGTTATTTTAATTATATATATATATATATATATATATATATATATATATATATATATATATATATATATATATATATATATATATATATGTTTTTTTATTTACTTTAAAAAAAATATTTTGATTTTTTTTTTTGATTTTTTTTTAAAATCGATATGTTTACTGTACTGAAAATGACTACATGTAACTATAGTAAAATATAGTCATTCATAGTAATGTTCTTTCCTTTTACCCTGAATTTTTAGTCGACCAATAATGTGTACATACAAATATCACCGCTGCTACAAAAATATAATTCATAATCACCAACAACAAAAATATTTATATTATAAATCAACTCATAACTAATACAAATCGAAATACACGATTACATGCATATGTTACTACTTATTACCATATGTTACTAGTTATGTATAGTAATGTGTAGTAATGTATATAATATGTAGAATACTGTAACTTGAAGCAGATGTCAAAATTGTCAAATTCTTCCACAACTTAAACCAAATTTTTTGACACTTTCAAGAAGATGATCAATGGCTTCCATTAAGCTGCAATTGTAAAATCAAAACGAAAAATAATTATGTTAGTGCAAATTAACAAAAACTGAAGAAATATCAAAACACTCAAAAATCGACAAACACTCATAGAGAGAGAGAGAGAGAGAGAGAGAGAGAGAGAGAGAGAGAGAGAGAGGCGTAGCTATGAAATTCTATAAATTCTAGACCAAACGCCACCTACCAAAACCCTAGCCGCCGCCAACCACCCAAGGTTCCGCGCTTTCAATAAAAAAAGTTATAGAAACAAATCTTATAATAAAAAATTGATCGAAATTACAAGAACTCGACGAGGGGAATCCAACGGTGGGTAGCCAGTCAAATTGCGACTGCGGGAATACAAATTACACCTCCGGTAAGATTCATCGCCGTCAAAATACGCGCCCACAGTAAAACGATAATAGAAACAGATCCAGAGTTCCAAACTGTATGAAATCACCACCAAAAGAAAGAGCTTGATGAGGGGAATCCAACGGTAGTTAACCCATCGAATGTCAACCTTGGAGAGAGAGTTATGACTCCGAGAAGTAACATCATCGGTGGGAAACCTATGGGGCGGAATTTGGATCTGAGAGTGAGTGAGGAAGAGAGAGAGAGACCTGTTTATAAAACTGATATCAAAAGGGTATTTTAGGTACTTTAAAGTGGCAAGGAGTATCACAAATTAAGATAAAAAAAAGGAGGGGGTATGCACCAGGATGTAATATCCTTGATGTTTAGAGCATCTCCAATGCTAAACTAAAAGAAAAAACTCTAAAAATCCTAGGTTTCAAGTACCAAATGTGAATTGTAAAATTTTATCCAACACATTTGGTAAGATTGAGATTCTCTACTACAAAGTCTTCTCTACTGCAACACTCAAGACTCAAACAATTTTTTTAGGTGTAATTTATTATTGGGTTATAAAATTAAAATTAAAACTATTAATTTATTAAAAAAAACTTATTCCACCAAAAAGAGAAAAACAATTCATTCTCGTTTCCGTTTCTGGTTTAATACTGGTATGGTTTATTCATATTTATTTCAGAAGAGAGAAATAGAAGTAGATAAGTTTTTTTTATGAATATTCATTAGTTAAATATTTTAACGAACAAATTTTAAATTGACATTTTTCTTTTTTTGTTAAACCATGAACATATATTGTATACAAACTACAATTTTTTATAGATTACGTGTATGGTTCATTTATTTTAGGTCAGAGGAATCACATGAATTCAATTGATTAAAGTTTGAGAAAATTATTGTTAGAACAAATTAAGTAATTAATTAATATTTTACCTGAAAGTCGAATTTTAGAGAAACATATAACTCCAATAAAATAGTGTAGAAGAAGATGGAATAAGCATAGAGCTATGGTGAAATCCATTTACGGTTTGAATATAATTTAATTATCTTAATTTTTTTAATATAAAGTAAAAGAAAAATAAATGATGAGTTGGTACTTTAGAGATTCTCAAGACCACACTCCAATTAGAGAGTGTAATCTTAAGAATATCAAAAATCATAAGTGTCACCTCATTGCCACATCATTTGGAGATATTTCTTAAGATTTGAATTGGAGATGATTTTTAAACTAAAATCTAAAAATATCCTATGTGGCACTCTAAGTATTAGAGATTGAGTTTAGCATTAGACATGCTCTTAGTTCAAAATATTTTCAAAATGAGGGGGGTCCATCAAATAATCCACACATTTTTTTATGATCTTATTTGTTTCTCTGAAATGCTAATTATCGTGACACTTTTACTGAAATTGATTTATTTGCAGCGGTAGTCTTATTTCTCATTTTTCAAACTTTCTGAAAAACTTGAAACTCTCTCAACTAAAAAAATTCAAAATCTTGGAATTCGAAGTTCGTTTCACAAATATACAGTCGAGCAATAACAACAACTTCACTGACGGATCTAGATTACGATTACAGTGTAAAACGAACAAGGTAAAAAAATATGAGGGAATTTCGTGCTTTGTAGCACGGAATCTCAAAACTTTTCGAAAAAATGGAGGGTTTCGTGCTACAAAACACGAAATCATGATTAACAAAAAGTAGTGTTTCGTGCTATACAACACGAAACTCCAGGTGTTTCACGTTGTACAGCACGAAACCCCTGGTGTTTCATGATGTATAGCACGAAATCCCCCTTTGCAAATTTTTGTTTTAAATAAAAAATTATATTGCTTTGTATTAATATACTAATTATTTTGTTTATATTTTGGTAGGATAATGAAGACGAATGTGAAGATGAATATGAGAATGAATTTCAGAACCCCAACATATGCTATGATATTCCTCAGATCACGTCCGCATCTGAGGATCACAATTATTATTTCAATGTGGATATTGCGTTTGAAACAAGCGAATCATTAGTGGTATGGACCAAAAATACCGCATCTACTTATGGTCATCAATTGATAGTAGCTTCAAGCGTGAAAAACGTTTATGTAATAATTACATATCATGTGTATGGGTACGTACGGGAAAAACAAACCGATCGGGAGAAGCCTCGAA